TATGGGGTTGGTGAAAGGGGAAGAGGGACGCCGTCTCTGTCTCTTTCTTTCTTTCGCCCCCCTTCCTTTCCTCGCGGTATTTCGCGGCCCTCTTCTTGGTCGCACTTTTGTTTTGAAATCTTCTTGCTTTGTGTTATTTGTTTTTAATGCCGCGATCCTATCCTCTCGTAGTGGTTGTAGGGTTGTGTCTAGTGTCTGTCCTGCTGTCCCGTGCCGCCATGCCGCCCCGCCCCGACCGCGACCTACTTGCACACAAACCACCCAACGAACCACCCCACTCACTGCTTTCAGTGTCTAATTTAAATAGCGTCAAATTCGCCGTCAAATTCCCATCACGAGGGTGTCCCATCGATGTGCCGTAGGCCTCGTAATATTTTTGCCGGCTATACCACGGGCGGGCGTGCGGGCGGGCTTGCCTATCGTCGCTCACCGTGGCACCTAATGTTGCCAAACGAGTACTGCAATTCACATACACGCCTGCATGTGGTACAGTGTAACCAGAAAAAAGTAGGGGCCTCTGAGCCTTTTTTTTACGTTATTGGTGTATTTTTTGTTACTGTGATTAAACTCTTTTTACGCTGGAATACGTCCTAACACGTTTGTGGAACGGCCGTAACGGAGCTGTAGGAGGTGATCGTGGATTGGTAGAAAAAATAGCAAAAGTAGCACTCTGTGATTTTATTTTTTATGTACCTGTACCTTCGGCTAGCTCTCGTAGCGCCTAGTGGGTAGGCAACATCATGCGCACAGTGCACCCGTGTACCGCGGGCTGGTCTACCCTCAGTCTCGCAGGCAGGCGGCTAGCTCTCGTAGCGCCTTGTAGGTAGGCAACATCATGCTCGCAGTGCACCCGTGTACCGCGGGCTGGTCTACCCGCAGGCTCGCAGGCGGTGGGCTCCCGTAATTAACCGAACAAATCTGTGGAAACAACGGACGCGCTTGGACGGCTCCATCGAGCTCAGCCACATTTTTCTTGGATTCACTCGTCAAATTTGCGGGGGCTCGGTGCGCCCTGTTGTTGTAGCAAGCAGAGATCCCGGGTAGCCTTCCCTGCAGTGCTCGAAATGCACCGGAGTCAAGATGTTGCCTACTTATCAGGCGCCACGGAGGGTTGCTTGTTCTGGCTAGGGCTTCAGCCTGAGGCATATTTCTCCAGTTGGCCACTGTGCGTCTCACCTGCCCTGCCCGCCCTCATCAATTTTGCGCCCCCCCTTTTTTTTGTTTTGTCTTCTTGCAGTCACGGTTGTCGCTTTTCTAACCACGTCTATGTCTCTCTTGTTTCAGCGTGAAGAGTGTGATGCACAAGAGCATGCTCCGCGCTGGGGAGGTCGCCTTCGACAAAATATTTAATCAAATATTAGGTGAGTACCAAAGTCGTGGCTAGGAATTTTACAATCTGCAATTTTATCGGGGAAAAATTAGAAAAATGTTAAACGTTTCCAGAATTATTATTTTTTTTTCGAAAAATTTGAGATATTTGCAGAAAAATTAGAAAAACTGAAACGTCTTTGGAAAATAAAATTAAGAGATTTAGGGGAAAATCCCAACAGTACTTTTCCGGAAAATGAAAACCCCTATTTGTGGCGCTGGCTGCCCATAGCCTTCCGTGCCATTTCTATGGGGTGCGTGTTTACTGAAGAAGTCTCCACCATCCCTCGGCCGAGGCTTGGCGCCCGGCTCCCGGCCCGGGAAGGGTTGGAACTGTGGTGGGGGCGGGGCGGGGCGGGGTGATCTTGGCCGACGGCCCGCGAAATGGCTGTAGTCCCATCTTAACCCTCACTGCCCCCCCCCCCCCCCCCCCGGGTGGTTCGGCGAGTTGTTC